GATCACCTTGTTCGCCTAGAAAAAACGGTCAGGGATGCCTTCGTTAACAAACAGAATTGTGTATCGGTGTTTTTCGACATTGAGAAGGCATATGATACCACATGGCGGTACGGAATTTTAAGGGATTTACTTTCAGCTGGAATTCGTGGGAAAATACTAGCTGTTATCAAGAGCTTCCTCGAAGAGCGCTCGTTCCAAGTGAGGCTGGGCACGACACATTCTGAAACGTTTGTACAAGAGAATGGTGTTCCCCAAGGGTCGGTGCTGAGTGTTATTCTGTTCCTGATCAAAAGGAAGTCTCTTAGACAGGTTCTCCCTTATCTCTCTCCTATGCACTCTATGTTGATGTTGGTGATGTGCGAATTTCCTGCTCTTCGTGTAAATTAGCTGTTTGTGAACGCCAAGTCCAACTAGGTATTAATGGAATGACACGTTGGGCAGATGAGAATGGTTTTCGTTTTTCAGCTGAGAAAACTGTCTGTGTTCTGTTCTCTCTTTGAAGAGGGATCACTGCAGGACCCACTTTAATTCTGGGAGGTCATACCCTAAATGTTCATTCTGAGCATAAATTCTTAGGGATTATTTTTGATAAGAAACTTAGCTTCCGTAGTCACATCTTGCAACTAAAACAGAAATGGCTACTAGCATGAATATTTTAAAAGTTCTTTCACAAAAGTCCTCGGGTAGTGACAGAAGGTGCCTGCTGCGTTTGTATCAGTGCCTCGTTCGGTCAAAATTAGATTATGGTTGCGTGGTGTACGGCTTGGCGCGGCCGTCTCTTCTTTGGATCTTAGATCCTGTCCACCACCTAGGATTACGACTTGCAACGGGGGCTTTCCGGACCTCTCCCATTTCCAGTCTCTACGCTGAATCTAATGAATACTCTCTTGAAAAAAGATGTCTCTTCCTGGGCCTTCAGTATCACTTAAGAGTTCGTTCTATGCCCCGACACCCCGCACTCGAAGTGTTTCTGGACACGCGGTTTTAAAGGACATATCAGAACAAACCCTCGGTTGTACCTCCTTTTCCTCTGCGCCTTAAAGAGATACTGAACCAAGGAATTTAGTGTCCATAATAAGTGTCGCACGTTCTTTTCACGAGCCAGCAGCCGCCGGTGTGCGCGAGTACACGCAACAGAAATGACGTCAGAGACCTCCATTCGCGGTTAAGATGACAGTGAAATGTATGGGCTTCGTGCCAAAGGAGAATAAAGACAAGTCTTTTATCTACTCAGTGGTGTCTGTCATAAAAGGTAAGCGATTAATTGGTCTAATAAGCACGTAGCTTTCACTTATAGAGATGAAAAGCCTGTCTTTATTCTCCTTTGGCCTGAGGCCCATGCATTTCACTGTCCTCTTAAGCGCGAATGGAGGCCTTTGACGTCATTTCCGTTGCGTGTGCTCGCGCACACCGGCGGCTGCTGGCTCGTGGATAGAACGTGCGCCACTTATTATGGACTCTAAATTCTTTGGTCCAGTATCTCTTTAAATCTGAGGCCAAGAATTTTGCAATAGACTTATCAAGTCCGGCAGCAGCGTTGCCCAGCCTAGTTGCACCCTGGAACATCACACCTATTCCAATAAATTTTTCTCTTTCCAAGTATGACAAGAAGAATGTACCATGAAAGATCTTAGGCAAGAGTTCTTTCAAATCGCCGAAAACTACAAGAACCTTGTACAGTTTTACACAGATGGAACGAAGGGCAGCAGTAGTGTTGGATACGCTGTAGTGGGGCCGTCATGCAGTATTGTAAAGCGGCTCAACAACGAAGCCACCATCTTTTCTGCAGAGTCATATGCCCTACTTTTAGCTGTGGATACTATCATCAAAAGGAATATCAAGGCCGCCGTAATTTTCTCAGACTCTCTCAGTGCTCTGCGTGTACTTCCATCCCTAGATAGGTTAAAAAATGCTTTTCTTCTGCAAGTACGTAACAAGATTGTAACCCGCACAAACTCCAACATCACCATTAATTTTTGTTAAGTCCCTAGCCACATCGGTATAGTCGGAAATGAGCAGGCCGATAAAGCTGCTAGAACATGTCAGGACATGGACACAGAGGTTACCTGCATCCCATACTTGGTTTATAGGTCATTATTGAAAAAGTCGATTAAAAAGAAAAGGCAGGAGGAATGGGATACTGTTGTCCATATTAAAGTCTATCGCGTGAAACCTGCTCTTTCTAAATAGGCCAGTTGCCGACATAACGAGCGTTTTTATGAAGTTGTTCTCTGTCGCCTGAGAATTGGCCACACTGAACTCACACATGGCTTCCTTCTGCGAGCGGAGGATGCTCCAATGTGTGAAGAATGTGGTGAATCACTCTCCGTCTTGCACATTCTCACTCAATGTCCGAAATATCATGAGGAGCGTCGCACCAACTTCTCACGGTTTTTTAGTGAACAGATCCAATTCCACCCTGCCCTTTTGCTGGGAGAGGAGCCTCTTGATCCTCATACCCAAGTTTTTAACTTCTTAAAGAGCATTGGCCTACTACAGCTCATTTAGGTTAGCGGATTTTCTTCGTATTTTCTGCATTTCATGAAAGATTTTAAACACTCATAGCATCCTCACTTTTAAATAAATAGCACCACAGTTTATTCTTTTACCATTGTTATGGCGCACTATGGCCTTAGCAGCCGCTGCGCCCTTAAAACCCAAAATCAATCAATCAACATACCACATCATCACATCACTCATACCACAACTCTACGAAACTTGACAGCGGCCGGACACCTTGCAGCCCGTTGTCGCGCATGCCAATGCGAGGCAACGTTGCGCAACGTAAACATCGTGGGGCGACATAAAAATCAATGCGCCCGTGAACTTCTAGAAGCCCTAGCCGTCGAAGAAAAAGGCGAGGACTGTGTTAGTGCCCCTTCCGTTGCACTATCACTTCCTGCAGAGTGATATGAGTTCCAGGCAAAGGTAGAAGAAGAGGAAGATCGCTTAAAGAAGACAGAAAAAAAAGGGATGAGAACATTTCGACAGCAGAAAGGTCAATGCGTTAAAGGAAAATAAATTCCGAATTAAGTGTAAAAAAAAAGAAAACCTAAATCAAGGATTAGAAGAAAAGGAAAAACAGGCATCATTAAATGTTGCTAGTCCAGCGGTGCGATGTTATATTTTTTCTCGGTGTTTTTCATGTTCAGCTGGCTCCATTTACAAGCAGTGAACCAACTTGCTCAGCTAAAGCCCGTAACAATGGTCCATTCTGCTTTGTATAACTTCCTCAAATAATTTATAAAATTTATGCAAGACCGAAATTGGTCTATAATTTTTGTAAATATACTCCGCCCCCTTAGTGGGCAGGTGTAACTTTGGCAATTTTAAGTTGCTCAGGAAATATACCCGTTTCTGACATGCAGTTTATGATGTGTGATAGGACGTTGCTAATATCTTAAAAAAACGTATTCAATAGGAACTGGTTTAAGGTCGTCCAGCACCTACATTATTATTTTTTTATTTGTGTTATTAGTTGTACTATTTCCTGTGGGGTGACTGGTGATAACATTATCGAGTTTGTTAATTAACTCGTGCCAGGTGTGTCGTAATATGCTTGCGTATCTGCAGTGCACTCGCCAACTTTTACAAAATGCTCGTTCTTTGCGTTAGATAAGTCCAACCCGCTTACACGCTTGCCGTAGAAAATCAGTTTGTATTTCTGTGACTCGATTGTTATTTTTTGTGAGGATATTTACCGCTTGTCATATTTTTCTGGGCCCGTTCTGGACGCGGAAAAATGTGCGTTGATAAGAATCATGTTTTGTATTTTTCAAATCAGATGTTAGCTTATTTCTGTACATTTTGTAAGCCGTGAAAAGATCTTGATCTTTTCTTGATGTGAAAACGAGTATAGTTCAGAACTTTCTGGTCGAATCGAACATACTTCTAGTTTCCATTGATTGTGTTGGAAAGGTATGGCGATGAAATGTCGCGCCGGTGGCTGCATGAATGGCTGCACAATCGGTCCAAGAGTGTCCGAAATTCGCGTATAAAACATGTTGTATGATTAAGATGAACTCAGCTGCGTTTAATGCGTGTTTTTGTCCCCTTACTTGTCGTCCATTTTGCCCAACGCTTATTCTTCGCGGAAATGTAGCGAAAGTGTTTCGAACCCAGATGCCTGATTTCCAGAACTAACAGCCATCTCATTCAGAAGCTGTAGCGGGCACGCTACAGTTATGTGTGATTTTCAAAAATTTCCGATTGGAAAATGGCGGCCGACGGAGCTTTCAAATACATGAGGCTAAATGGCGCCAATTAGAGGAAACTGGCAAAAACGGGCCGCATTTTCCACATTTACATTTTTAGTAGATCACTCGCTACTTTTGATAAGATAACATGGTTTGTTCTGAAACTTTTGGCATCTGGTTTTCACTAGTTCGTACCACAAACTCTGCATTTCAGAGGAGTGTGAGGGCTCCACGATGTGTAGTCTAATTCTTGCGGTGAAAAAAAAAACAAAAAAAAAACGCAATATTTTGGGACGCTGTGTATAACGTGAACCAACTCGCTTGTTGCCGTTTTTAGAGCGCAGCTTTTAGGCCCCCGTTTCCGGCCTGTAGAGGTGTCGCCGTCGCCGTCGGCGTAATTGTGAGGTCACGTGACCCTCGCGAGGCCACGTGACCCCGGTGATGTCACGTGACTCCCGTGAGGTCAAGTGACCCTCGTGAGGTCACGGTCCCGATATTAAACCCGGCTACCAAACTCAAACATGGTTTATTTCTCGAGCTGCTCAAATACAGTTGTAAAAATTATTATTTGATTCATAATTTAATTCATCCTTTTTGGCGAAGTATTTTGTTTTAGTAATCTGCGATCAATTAGTCATTAGTTTGTGTTTATATAAAGAAGGTCGCTCAGAAAACGCAGTGGCTGTGTTGGAGACGTTCGACCCCCTTTTTTCTTTCTCAACAATTCAAAATGTCCATTTTCGTGACCCAGACCCGAGGTTAAGACATCGGAAAAACCTCATTCGATCTCTCCTTTCCACACAGTGTTCTTCTACAATTTCGGATGGTAAGTGCGGCGGATCCTTGAGCCTGGGAGACAGCAGCCAGAGCCAGCTTCGCAGGAAGGACTACGGCACGCCGAGCAACCCCGCGCTGCTGGACATGGTCAAGGTGATGGCGTTCGCCCTGGGCGAGGGCAAGGTAGCCGTGCACTGCCACGCGGGCCTCGGGCGCACGGGCCTCCTCATCTCCTGCTACCTGGTGTACGCCTTGCGCTGCCGCCCCAACGACGCCATCCGCTACGTGAGGCTCAAGCGGCACGGCTCCGTGCAGACCCAGGCGCAAATCGGATGCGTCCAGAAGTTCGCGCAGTTCCTTCTTCCTCTCTTCATCGTCTACCCAGTGGTGTGAGTGAACGTCACCCGATGACCCCTTTGTCGCCAAGGACGAAAAGAACTAAACGCGACCTAGGGCTCTAGCCTCACCAATACCAAAGTCATGAAGCATTTTAGTTTGAATATCATTTTCGCTTTGACGCTGCATGATGCATTAATGTGTAACCCAATTTCTAGGAGGTTGAAGCACATGTAAATGGCTTTGTTCACTGCCATTCGGGCGTTGTGTACTGCATTCCGCATGCCTATGGAGACCAATAGGCATGCATTGTACTGCATGCCTATCGGGACCAAACGGGAAGCTGCAAAAATGACAGATCGAGGGAGACCGCAACTTTCTGACTCCGTCTGGCCATTTAGCAGTCCACTACAGCAGGTGTGAGTGCACTCCCGTGTTTGAGAATACAGATATTTTAGGATGATCTAAAAAAACGGAAAGCGTGGGAGGCTTTGGGGGATTTTAATACTTTATCGGCGGCAGTATAACGTGCACGTTAAGATTTGTTTTCTGTTTTTAGATTGTAACCGGTGATAAAGGGAGGGGGGGGGGTTATCGAACGGCGCATGTGCAGCTGGGAAGGGGCTATCCATTATTTTTTTTTCGTAAGTTCATCTGGAAGTGTAATAACACTTCCAGATGTGAGTAAGCGCTCGTCTGCCATACGCGTCCTTCATTTTGTCCTGTTTTTTTCCCCTTTTATTTTATCACGAATTTTCAAGTTTAGGCTATAAACGTCGATCAATTGCTCTGGGCATCGGCTTGAGGAGTACACACGAAAAGGTGACCGAGGTTGCGTCTCATCTTGCAGGCAGACCAACAGAAGGCCATCCAAGTCCGACAAGTATCGGTAAGACGCGCGAAGGCTATTCGCCAAATGGCGTCCCAAGGCGGCCTTTCCTGCAGGCCAGCCAAGGCGGTGGACTTCACGCTCAGCCATTACTTGCTCAAACAGCGCCAAGTGTTGCACGGCCTCGAAGGCAGGCATCTCAAATATATACCCAAGGTCAGTATTCTCCTTGTTCACGTCATTCTTCTGATAAGAGTTGCAGAGAGGGGAGGCCTTTGCTGGAAGTTCTTGACCCGCTTTTCTTTACCTGAAACAAAACATGCGTATAAATACCAGTGTTGCGGAGTTGCCACTCCGGAGTTGGGATGATTCCGGAATCATTCCGCCTTTTCACGACCCCGGAATGGAATGGGAATGGAATTAGGTGCCTTTTGCCCGGAATGAAATGGGAATGAAATAAACACAGTTCTTCCTTTTTTTTTTTTTTTTTTTTTAGTGTTTACGGTCAGTTAAATCGAGCCAGTCAGCAAGTCAGTTGGTCAGAAATAAAATGAGCGGGAAACTGCTAGCCCGCGTGGAGCCCTAACAGATTTACACTCAAAAGAAAAAAATGCAAAACAAAAAAACAAGCGTCAAATCAAAGAGCAAACGGGGAAAGGGGGGTAACGTGGCGCCTTTCACGGACGCGCAGGAGTCGGGCTTCAATGGCGTTACACGAGAGCGAAACAAGAAACCAAACACCAAGCAAAAGAAAAGAGAGCGGCAAAGAAACAGCCATGAACAACTCCTCATCGTCCTTCTTTTCATGTTTTTATTTTTTTTTGTTCTTGTTGTTGCGACGGTTTGTAGAATGCACGCGCGCCCACATACTGAGATATGGCAGCGGAAGCGACTCATAACTCGGAGAGCTCTGATAACTCGTTGACTCGGGCGCTGGCGAAAGATGATCAGGTATTGTTTTCTTATAGTTCGAGGAGCGTTGTTTAGCAGGCAGCCACCCCTGCTGCCTTCCACGCTCATCCGTGCGCACTCCTTTGAAGTGCAAAATGTGGGTTTGCTTCGGCATTAAAACAAAGCTAGATTCAGTTCCCTCTTCTCCTCTTGCGCTTTGCTCCGTAGCTTGTTTTTTTATACTGCATTTGTAGTGTAAGTCCACCCTTTACTGGGTCTTAGTTCCGATGCTTGTTTTCTGTGTTATATGTTTTAGCGGGTTGGGGTTACAAGCAAGCTAGCGGATTCCCGCTCATTTCCTTTGACTTTAGTCTCTGCATACTTCGTTTCACCTTGCGATGGACCGCCGCGGACGCTACGCGTCACCCTAGGCAATCCAGCACCGTGAGCGGGACTGCAGGGTCACGCGACAGTGGAAGGCACTGGATTGGTTTCGATGGCTCTCGTGCTCTCTGTTGAGGTCCATCGTAAGGTGAAGTAGACTATCGTCACCGCTCTTGGTGTGACCGAACTGACTAGACCTGCAGAAAGACCGTCCCGCGCCAGACGAGGAGCGACCGTTGCTGTGAGGTCAACTGAGAAGGAGAGCTGGGTGCTAGCTGCCACTGAGGTTTTGGCTTCCGGGCGTCTCGGCTGTCCGGTCTGCATTCGTGCTCCTTGTCCTGGACCCTGTTTGAGGCGGTGAGAAGTCAGTTGGACGGTGTTGTTGAGGAAACACGGGGAATGTCAATTGGAACGATGCTGTATTAACCCGTTAATTGTATCTTGATGTGAAGAGCTTTGTCAACGCTGACTTCCCGACCTGTCGCCACTACGCGAACAACCGACACCGAGGTAGAAGAATGAATCGGTTGGTACCGTCTGCTGCGTGAACCCGCCACTTGATCAGCGCGAAGAGGAACATCGCAATTCGGACGAGAAGACGGGATAAATACAGATCGAGTCATAGCATCGTGCAAGACATTTTTCTCGCGAAGAAAATAAACAAGCTGCACGCTGAAATTTGTGAAACGAAACTATAAACGGTGAAGTCGGCGTATATGATCGAACTTTATTCGCAATCTGAAGAGGAAACACGAGAATGAGCATGCGAAGGGTGGAAAAGGGCAGGCCAACCAGCCAAAAAAATGAATTGAATATGATAAGAAATATCGAGATTCGTAAAGCAAGCGTGAAATTATGTGTTTTACAACAGGTTTTCTGACATGGTCTATACAATCCCTCGTGCTGCACCACAGAGGTTGCATTTTGTCAGAGGATGTGTTCTTGCCGCTGTGCATGGAGCGGCTTCTAGCAGAGTACTAGGCGTGTTGCTGCATTTGAAGGATACAGTAATATAGCTTATTTCTGCGCCACGCACGAACTGGATATTTTAATGGTCTTATCGGCAAATACGCTGGCCGCGTACGTCCTCAACGTCAAATGCAAAAAAATTAAAAGGAAGAAAAGAAAATTAGTGGATTTAAGTTTTGCTGTTTGTTGCGAGCCACGTGGTCGCGAGACCGATGTCTTAAACAAGCATCGACATATCAAGGGGCTTTGTTGATGTTTGCAGTACATTGTAATTAAACACTTTGTGCCACCAGCGGTCCGCTTAGTAAAATCAGTGATTTTTTGAGGAATTTAGCATTTGTTTTTTGCAATTGTGTCTGCATTTGATAATGTCAGCTTCATGCTGCTTATGCCGGCAACACAATGCAGCTCTCAAGTGCCAATTTTTACGTTTAGGAATTAAAGGAATGGAATGGAACGATTCAGTCATTCCATGAGTGGGAATGGGCCCAGTGTCTCCATTCCTAGGAATTGAAAGTAATTGAATTATCGAAAGCTCTAATTCCCCGGAATGGAATTGGAATGGAATGAGGGTGCCCATTCCGCAACACTGATAAATACATGTTGTGTTCTTGCAGCGATTTCCCACGGTCGTCATCCAGAGAAGTCTTATTGGATAGATAGAAGTAGGCAGCAATTGTTTCAGGCCCAGCCCAAACTAATTAGGAGATGGCAGATCGTGAGATTTTTTGTTGATCTCGTTATTTAAGACCACATAGATGCTTTTCGTCCCCAAGTGTTCTTGTTACTTATACTGCCTGTTTTACGGAACGTCAATCAAGTCCCTCTGGCAAATACAACGCATCACTTGTTTACTGTTTCACGGTTGTATTGTTCCCTGCCAAGGGGCGTATACAGAGAAATGCATAACGTTCGCGGTCTTTTTTTATTTGCTTTCTGTAAGTTTCAGGTTATGGTTTCAATGAGACAATTCTCGGGCTTTATCAGTAATCCGTAAGTCATCATTTTAAAAGTATATAAGGCACTCGCAAAATTTTATGGCGTTAAGAAAAATTGGTTGTGTTTGTCGGTTTGGGATTTTTGTCGCATTGCATTTTTACGTCAGAGGTCCTGCTCCCCGTGGTCAGGGCGCGCAACCGAGGTGCACCACCAGGGATTCTTCGTATGGCAGAACTGAGCCGGAGGATCGATGTTTATTCTTGCAAGCAATACTCTTGCACGCTTCCTTTCCTCCTACGGGATAGGCGAGCTAGCTTGGATGTATATGACTTAGGGTGCGCAAGGGGGGGGGGGGGGGGGGGGGGGGTCAAATGGCATGTGGCTGAAGCCCCTTAAGCTCGCCCCCCCCCCCCCCCCCTGGCTATCGTGGGTTGTCGACAGTGGATGCTTCGGATCTCTCAATGTCGTCTCAGGCACAAGCTTTCAGCTCTCTTCAGGAACTGTACAAACGAAAACTTATGCAATCCTTAATGTTCATATGCTATTGTTGATAACCTTCAGCGTTTGCACTCTAGAGGTACTAAAAAGTAGTGTATTGAACTAGATCAGCCATAAGAGCGTAACGAAAAATTTGCGAAGCAAGGGTTAAGCAATATGAAACATACTTGTTCCGTCATATTAGGGAGTTTTGGTAGACCGTGCTTCCCCCTCCGCTATCCCTCCACTACGAAGAAACCGCCACTGCGCCTGCGCGCCGATGGCCTTGGCTGTAGAGTTTCGGGTAGCGGAGGGGCTTAGCGGAGGGGGAAACACGGTCTACTAAAACTCGCTATTATGTTTAGATTATAAACCCTGATTAGCTTCCAGAGATTCTCTAATTTTCTGAATGACATCGGTGCATGAATCGGTGATTTTACAAATCGACGAATGTTAAGCTGTTTAGAGCTGTTGCTGGTTTAACGGTTTGCGACTACTTAAAGTAAGATATCACAGCACTCTCATGCTGGTGCAAAGATAACGGCTTGATCCTCAACTTGATAAAAAAAATAGTTTTCGAGGAAAAATTTAAGTCTTTTTTAAATACTCTGAACCAGTGCTTAATTGAGGGTGCCTCAATCAATCAACATTTTCTGAACACGTCGCGTAATTATGCAGTACATGTTACCGCACTTTAAGTGGGATCACCAAAATGACTTTCCATTTTAAAAGGTTTTTTTTTCATTTGATATCAGTGTTTATATTTTATGTTGTACAAGCTGGATTTCTCTAACACGGTGTGGGATTGTTAAAACAAAACAGACATCAATGAACTTGAAAACATAGAGAAGAAATATGTTCAACTTCTTTATGATCGTCATTTTCTCAGGCGGATGTATATCAGCTTTGAGCAGTTGTTATGTATTTTAGACTTTCACTACCCTTCTGAAAGGTGAATGACGCGCCATTTTTTATATTTGTACACAAATGTCTCAACTGTTATTGATTGTCCCAAACCAACCTCATATGTTTTAGCCATGTACCAAATAACTCTTAGTTATCATTCTGCATTCGGTTGCTCTAAATCATATTCCCGAGAAGTTACAGACGGGAGCAACACAGTGTATTCGCCCATGACTCCTTGCGACGAGTGTTCCCTGTGCTGACTCAGGAAGATGGGGTCAGTACTGTTTTGTGCAGGTGGCCCTTGCAGTGTTGCAGACGCTCTTCCCAAACCGGAAAGAAAGCTTGTTTCTCGTTACTTCTCAATCTTGGAACAAGTTCTCGCTACAAGTTTCTGTGCTCCGAGAGAAACGCGTTCCGGTTATGCTTCAGAAAGGAACGTGTCATTGCTTTAATGTTGTATTTGTGTATTGTAATGAAATATTGCCGCGCGCCTGATCGAGAAGATACGCTTCTCCGTTCATCGAGAAGATTCGCGTACACTTTTACCCCGAGCGTAAAAAGAAAACAAAGCCAGAGTGACCCTGCCTAGTCAGTCTCGCCCCAACGCTCGATCCTGCCGTGGCGTCGCCATCGACCTTTGCGACGCTAGCCTTCTTCTATTTTGTTTCGGGCACGAGTTCGCCCTATTAAACGTTTAGTTTCCTTCAGTTTTTCGTTGCTAAATCAATTGTCATTCGTGACAATATTTCGCTATATAATCCGTCGATAAAATAAAGAAACCAAGTGAAAATATCCACATTGAACAACAGTCGGGGACAGGTTAAGAGTTCATATCATGCTCCTTTCACCTCTTTTCACCTTAGCATAGCAAACGCTGGAGAGGAGGTCTTCCGTAATCGCTCTGCTAAAGTGAAATAAAATGTGGGAGGAGTCTCCCCTAAACACCGACTATACGTGTCGTGTCGCAATGATCACTTTTTTTTTAAATTTCTTTGTTTACGACTACCTTTTAGACACTTCCCTCTCCCTTAAAATTGACGTTCGAAATAGACGATAATAAAAATCTGAAATGCCTACTACATTCGGGTAAAATTGGAGGTGCATGAAGAAAGTTCCATTAGTGGTTACTTTGAAGACGCAACGAGTTCCTATTCCAGTGATGCAAGATGGAACGGCGGCCGTCCTCCTCAAAGGAACGCGTTCCAGGAACCTCGTTTCTGGGGACGCCGTCCCATACAACACAGGGGTCTTGTCAGGCATTTTCCGAACTTTGTCGCATGTTCTGGAAGGCGGTTTTATGCACTGGGTTAGAGACAGATGCCTGCCTGTGTTCGGTGTCTGCCTCAGAATGCAGGGTGTGATAGGCAAGATGGTGAGAGATATGGCTTAAAGTCAACAAAGGATTGCCTACGGCAAAGCTAGAGTTTTATTATTTTTTTAATGAACTTCTTGGTTTTAGAAAAAACTGCCAGCAAAAACTCTGGGAATACTACGACTTTCACAGTCTTCGGTTATCCCGAACGTTTTTATCTCGTAGCATTTAAACAGGATTTCGCAGCTTCTGCACAACCCCACACAATGGCGATTAGAAAGAATAAAACATTTAGTTTTGCCGGGTTAAATAGGGGCCAGAGAGACAGCCGCCTTCCGTTGTGATCGGGTTACAAGAAAACGACATATTTGGCACTAATCTTGATCGATGCTAGGCTTACGTTACGATCTTCTCGATTTGTTCTTATTCCAGGGTTTTAGCACAGACTTAGCATTCGCAGAACCGTAAAATGACAGCGGCCCAGCCTGTTTGTTCGAGTAATCAAAGATCAGCGTGAAATGTTAACAACGAGGATGAACGAAATTAGTCTGGTAGCTCTTGGAAATGGACTGGTATTTTCGTGTGCGGCTGCACTCATTTTAAGCATGCTGACTTCTCAAGATATGTTTTAAAAACTCTTCTTTTTTTTCAGATTCTCTACGCATTGTGCGAGCGCTTACTCAAGCTCTGCGAAAACAGCTCCGGCGTCGACGCCAACCGATCCTCCAGCAGCAGGAGTACGGCGTCAGTGAGTGCGGCCAGACTCAGCTTCGAGCTGACGGAGCTGGAGCCCTTCTGGACGAAGTTCCTGTGCTCGTCGTCTCTGCGCGACCGCTGGCGGTCGGCGTCGGAGGGCAGCCAGTCGGCCGAGCTCGTCAGCCCTTCGCCTGAGGAGGGCCCCCAGGAGAACGACACCGTCCTGGACTCGCTGCTCGTCGCTGGCCTGTCCGGACTGTTCACCCCGACACCCGCCAGCCCAGAATGCGGCTACGAAGAGGTCCTGGAAAACGAAGACATCTCGGAAAGCCAGGCTTTGGCCGACAACGCCTGCTTCAAGGAGCTGTCATCGCAGAAGGAGCTGCGCTCATTGGCGCGCAAGGACGTTACCCACGTCTCTTCGGCCGAAGTCGGGCGCGCGCTGCTGCTGGAGCACGCGCTGCTCGGGCCTTCGTTTCTGAGCCGGCTGCGCAGGTTCCAGCGCGAGCTCAACAGTCGAGGTCCTGCCTGGGACATGCTGAATGTGGAGCAGGACCCCGCGCTCCTGGCGGGGCTGCTCTGGTTCTGGCTGGACAAGCTCAAGGAGCCCGTGCTCAGCACACATCACCTGACCGCAGTGGTCATCCAGCCCGACAACCCGGTCGCCGTTCTGCTCAAGTTAGACAGGGCAAGCACCGATAGAGCCAAGCGTTTTCCTCATACGTTTCTCGCTACCCAGGTGTGGCGCAAATGAAGGCAAGGCCTCAGAAGTGTAACAGAGGCCGGAAGAGGCAATGCCTCGAGTACAGCTAGGCGAGGACTTTGTAAATCATGCCGCTAGCTTTTGCTTTCCCCACCTAATTAACTTGGAAGCGAATAAATCATCAATAAAGTAGAGGATTCATTAGTGTGATTTATGTGAAAACCTTTATATGTGTGTTTGGGTGCTGCAGGATGAACTCGTCTATATATAATTTTATTGAATTGACTTCTTAATTTAGATATCTTAAGTTTTAAGCTCTTCACTGTTTTCAGTACCCGACCTTGGCAAAGTTTACACTGCATTAGACTGATTTAACCCCGAAAATTGCGGAACTTATCTGACGGTATTGAGACTTTGCCGAGAGAATGTTAACGCGACAATTATGCCTCGCGCACTTGTGAAAACAAATACGCACTCCGGTACGACGCGTACGTATTTAAAAACGGGTAGTTGTGGGCCTTGTAAACGCGGGATAAAGGGCGGGGGCCGTAGACCAACGCCTTTGTTTGTGCGCGGTGCAGGGCGCCCGCTTCACCACCGAGTACCTGGTACGCTTCGTATCCCGCCTGCAACTGCCGTCGTCCCAAGAGCGGCGTTCTGTGCTCCGACGACTGACGTCTGCACTGTGCCACCAGGCGCTCTCCATCGACGGCGTGGCCCGGCCGGTGCTCTCCGGCTGGGTCAAGATGCGAGAGGGCACCGCGGCCAGAGCCACCGAGTTCATGGAGGTTCTGTACGAGGCTGTCGCAGCCTCGTGCAGTACGCGCGACGGGTCGCTCGCCAATGGACAGGCCAGAGACAAAAGCTTCCGAGGCATCAACATTATGGCGTCGGCTATCGCGAGATAGCCCCACGTCGATCCATCCACTGCTCATGAAGTCAGGCCATCTCCGGGGCTCCCCGTGGCTTTTGGTGGCCGGATTTTATCTAAATGTCATCTGAATCACGTCGCTTCATTTCTTCCACATCCATGTTCATGACAGACTCTTCCGTTGCAGCACTCTGATTTGTTGCGGGTTAGAAGCCGCGGGAGAGTATCAAATTAAAGCGCGTTACCAGATGTAGCATCCTAAGACCTGGATTGCTATGCATAGTTCACTTCATTGTTTAGCTCCTTCGCTCCGTGCTGGTGATCTACATCTGAGAAAGAATGAAGTCGTGACAAGCGGGAATAGTAGACTTGGTGTCACGCGGGTACATAGGACGCCGAATTGCGCTACCTTTCCATATTGAGGAGCCTTAGTAGAGTAAATGAATTGCGAAGCCAGAGGATCGCATTCCTCTTAATGCGAAAGCACTAATGTCCCATCACGCGAAAATCCGGATTCGTCGGCGGCGGCGTGACCCAGCGATGGTACCAAAAATGGCCGACGAAGCCCCGAGTAAAAACACGTAAATAATTCTCCGATTGACGTCACAATTCTCAGGAAGGTTCCTCTAAATAAATTGAATTGATTGCTTTGAAAAGAAAATTTGGTACATTAAGGTCAGAGTGGGAATCGAACCAGGGCCTCCTGGGTGCGAGACGAACACGCTTTCCCGACGCCACGGCGGCTCCACGTTTCTGGCTGACTAAAGCCAGGTTCAGACAGTTGCGTTTGACTGCGTTTGACTGCGTTACGGCAGCGAGACACCAGGACATCCCTGCTGTTTATATCGCGTGCCAAGATGACTCTTTGAATTGAATTCCACGCTTCATACGAAGCACAGATGTGCCGGTGACTCGCTTTCGGTTCTCGCCGCAACGCAGTCAAACGCACTCAAACGCAAGTGTCTGAACCGGCCTTAAAGGTGTGCCACGGCCGGACTGGACGCGCGCGCTCACTTTCTCTTCTTACGGCCTTTGCAATCGCCCGGGATTCAACGGCATTTTTTCTCCATGTGTAGTTCACTTGCTTGCCGCCAGGGGCGCAGCCCCCTCACCCCACTTCGCCCCACTCGGAGAGTCCCTTCGAGCTGCTTTGCGCTGGTGGTCGAGCTTCGTAGGTTGTTGTTTTAACGACGGTTTGTTGTACTTCGCTCCGATTTGAGTCATGCATGGGCTGTCACAGCAGCCCTTGATCACATTGCCAAAGAAAAGGCCTATTCTAAGCAAATAAAGATGCCAGACACTGCTTCTGAGTGGTGTCTGACATCAAGTCGGGCACAGCAGCGGCTGTGCCCGTTTTGGATACCACTGACCTGAAAAAACTGAAAGACCCTTGGGCTCCATTTCCATCCGTGACATACTCTGGTCTGGTATATGTCGGTGGCTATCTGGTGAAACTCATTAGTGAGTTTGGGTGCACCGCCTGTGTTATGCTGTTGACTACGAGTAACAGAGGTGATCCTCGAGATCTGTTCGTCTTATTGCAAGGCCAGGATAAAAGCGGACTTCATTATCCAAATCCTAGGTTCCTAGCACTTCTGGACAACATTGCTGCTTTTTTTTAAAGGCTGTTAAGCACCTTCCGCGTACAAATGTGCACGAAGTTCTGCAACTACTCATCGCACCCTATCTTGAAGACACGCCAATCTTAAGTTGCCGAGAGGGCATTGAGAACAGTCACTCAAAGCGCTTGGCAGATCTAATTTACAACAAGTTCTTCAGAATACTTCTGATAACCCGTGCAAAGGCGGTCACAGACAGGAACGAAAAATCAGCTGGATATGTGCACAAGCCCTTGAGGAAGCACTTTAGGCTGTAACATGCACTGTTCTAAAATTGTACAGACTACTACACCCTCGTCTAGAGCAGCTGACCGACTTCATGTGAGGCCTATGAAATGATGACGCAGACCACGGCAATAGATAGATTGGGCCTGCTTACATTTCACGAGAGTGTACAAATTATTTGCCATTTAAAGTTCCGCCACTTAGAAGGGGTCCGTCTCCTTCTGTTCTTGAGTTGCAACATAAGTCCTGGGGTAGCCCAGGGGTGAGGTGACAGCGCCCCCCGCGAATTGCGGCGGGAGGTGGCGATTGCCACAATTGCAAAGGCCGTAAGAAGAGAAAGAGAGCGCGCACTTCCAGTTCGGCCGTGGGTGTGCCTAGTGCGTGCGTTACTGCACAGCTCACGTCGGAAATATCAATCGAAAACATTTGACCAAAGGAACTATAATGCTTTCGCATTTTCACAAGCAAGCAGTCTTAAGTGTCTCTGCCGAATTTTTCTTTCACCGCCAACTTCTTATTGGCGGAGAAGGGGTAACATGATCTAACACAGTCCCAAGCGCTAGAAGAAAAGGCGGCCGTGGAGATTAGAGTTTTGAGCGATCAAGTTCTACAATCATAGAAGTTTTTGGCGAAGTTTTACCTGGTCTTGCAAAAGACCACTGCGTCATCTGTTTCTGTGATCGGTGGCAGGGTGTACGCCATTTTCCGCTATAATTATTAATTTATAGTGAAAATCTTGAACGTTGTAAGAGCTTTTTCGAAAAGCAATAGAGAAATGGACTTCCTTCGGTCTCAAACTTGTTTGAAAGACCATTCATGCTATTACGATATTTTGTGAAATACCAGGTTTCAGAGAATGTTTTCATTTCTTGTAGCTTGCTCACAAAGTGTAGTGTGCGAAAACCATCGAATTCTTAAACACTTCCTGAAAACCCCTAGCTATGGGGAGCGATGAGACTATATTTTGTCTGTCGGTGTCACTGCCCCAGACATCTGCATCCAGCGTCTCCGGCCTGTTCCGTCCTCAACCCTTGGGAGAACCTAGCCCACAAAAAAGCGTTCTTCACGTGCGATCGCTGCGAAGCGACCTAAAAGAGAATGCAGAACATCGTGGCTCCCCTGTTGCCAAGTGGTAAGGTAAAAAAAAAAAAACTGGATTTGTGTAAATCGTTTTACACGTAAGCTGAACCTAGCACTACCATAGAGGGTGTTTCTCGGTACGCGGCCCAAATTGTTCCTGCAAAATGTACGCATCGCGCAGGAAAAATGGTAATCTCGTAATAATGTCCGCTAAATTAATTATTAAAAAAATAACATCGTTCGATGTAAATTGTTCATACTTATTCTTTTAGTAATTACTTTGCTAACTAATCAGTTTGAAAGTAGGATTTTCATTATATGAGGCCACTTATAAAAGACGCACATCTGGGCCAGGAGTGCTGTCCCTCGAAGCCAAAGCGCGAAGTCACCGCCTCGAGTCCACCGCAGAAAGCGAGGAAGCGCGGCGCTCGCCGACGAAATAAAACGAATGACACTGCAAGAAAATTTTTTGAGTCTTGGGCTGCCCTCTCTCATTCGAAGATTGCGTAGTGCTGCACATAAGTTGCGCACTTTGACCACGCTGGCGCAAAGATGCGCTTTGGAAGGAAAGCTCAACGTTTGAACGAGTCCAAATAAACTTTTTTTAGAACTTCGTAAAGTACTGTACGCACATTACGTCTTTTTGAAGTGAATTGATGTAGGGTGTTTTTTTATCATGTCCAGTAATGTTCTAGCTAAAACTATATTTTCCAAGTTAATAATTATAGATGTAGCTGCTCGAAGGCTATTAATATTCCAACACGACCGAACGCTGTTAGATTTTCCAACAAGGCCGTTTGACAGAGATCAATATGACAATAATCGCGATGCGTAGCTCTCCAAGAAAAGATTCGGCAAGCGTTGTAAGAAACGCCCCTCTTGCGGCACCTAAGTGTTAGAGAAAGAATGGTTGTTTACGGCTACGGATGGATAGGCAAACGCCGATAAATATCCAGGTTTTAAAAAGTTGCTTCCACCACTTCATAACAACCTCACATTCCCAACGATCGCTCAACTCGCTTACACACATGTCGGCTAGTCAGTGGAATGACCCGTGCAGCAACCGGCCTCAAAACATGTGTGTGATTGTCGTGTTCGTTATTTTTGCTGTTGTTTCCACTGTCATGTGGATATTACATCGACGTCAATTCATGGCAACATGTTAGTGCTCTTCACGCTTACCATTCTTCAAGCCTCATTTGTAAAATGGTAACCGACACGCCATTTTTGGATGGTAAAGCAATTTTTTTGTTTGTCTGTTTATTTGCAGTACTTTTCAGAATCATGTAAAGCGTTAACTTAAGATAAATCACCAGTATTCACCCGCAGAAGATCCCGGAAAGCCGAGTGAGACTGGGCAGACTGGGCGAGGGTCTTTGTCCGCTAACAGAGAAATCGCTATTTTTACAAGTCGTATGCGTCGCATGTGTTTCGAACGTCGAATAACAAGATTTTTCTAGCTACTAGGAAACGATGGGCAACCTTTTTGTTTTTTATTAGTTAACATTTTATTGTATGCGAAATGCTGCCACTTCCTGCTCGTTCTTCCTGTACATTTGTATAGAAATAAAAGCTGATTTCCTTCTTACAGCTCCGTGTTTCCCTGTCGTGACTGGGTACCCGGAAAGCCAAGGCACTTTCTTCGGTTGTGCACTGTGCGCGTTGGCGTCTAGAAAGGCCGCGATCACTTACGGGCATGCGTGGGCAGAAAGCGGACCTCGAGAAAGTGACCGCTACAGCAGAGCGATCGATAAAAACACTCTTTCGACCCAGAGGTCGTCTCCTGGGCACTGCCTGTTGACGCTCTTTAGGACACGCCAATCAATAGAACGCGGAACAGTCATCCGGTGTCGGCCGCCTCGGTGGCTCCGAAGCAAAGCGCCTAGACCCCCAGGTGGCAGGTTCGAACACTGGCCGGGGTGCCCGCAATATGACGGAGACATATTCCGCAGAAGTCGTCGTGTATGGGAGCTTTCGCACGCAGGGCAAAAGAATCCCAGGCGCTTCAAGATTAATCCCCAGTCATTCACTGGGGTGTGCCAGCTGCCCTATGTTAGTTTGGCAAGTCAAACCCCCAAATTTGAGTTTTACACCGAAGCTGTATATGACTCCT